GAGAGAGAGAGAGAGAGAGAGAGAGAGAGAGAGAGAGAGAGAGAGAGAGAGAGAGAGAGAGAGAGAGAGAGCATGAGGGATACTTTTTCCCGCTACTGTTTCATCTGTAGTTCTTGGTACTCTCGGCCGTCATCCATAGATGAAACCGATGCGTTCGAGAAACCGATGCCCGCTCGATGCTCACAACCTATGAAACAGTCATTGATTTTCCTTATTATTATTATTATTATTATTATTATTATTATTATTATTATTATTGGAAAGAGACAACCCCTTTATATTCTGGGGGGCACCGGGTGGTTGCTTATACCCGGCAAGCATAAGGGAAACAAAGAAACATTTTGTGAGCAGCAATGGGACCAAAAAAAGACAGCCATCGGTTAATTCATTTTTCAAAATACGTATATATATATATTTTTTCGCTCGAGTTAGAAATGAAGAAACGAAAAAAGAAAAGCGAAAAGCCATCGGAGGGGTTATAGCAAATCAAGATAGAGAAATAAAACCCCACAGAATAACACACCCTGGTGATCATGAGCAGGGAAATGACCGTTTACCGTAATGGCGATGATGACGGTGAGGAAAACGAGGGTTTATAGTGATGCTGATGACGATGATGATGATGATCATGATGGTGAGGAGAAGGAGGAGGAGGAGGAGGAGGAGGCGGCGACATAAGTTTATAAACATGAAATGATAATTGCTGATAATGATGGAATGGTGGGAGGATGAGGAGGGAAGAACTATGTACATGACGGATATATAAAAAAAATAAAAGAATATGTTGAACCTTGTAGTGACAGTGGCAATTGGTCTATCTGTGGGATGTGTCACTTGCTTTCTTCCCTTGTCTTTTCTTTGATTGGATCCGTTTCTCTTGCCTCTGTGAGGTCTGGTTTCCTCCTCCTTTTCTTTACCTCCTCTTTTTTGCCTTTTGGCTGCGTGCAAGTGGGTCCTTGTGACACACGGAGATGGGGGCAGCCAGCGCTCAACCTGTCATCCACGTGGCTGGCCTTGTACGTAAGAGGTGATGAACAGGTGGGGCTTTCCTTCCTTCCTTCCTTTTCCTTTCCTTGTTTTTTTTTTTTTTTTTCGCCTTCGCGCCCTGATTCACAGTGTGACAATGAAACTCCGACGAAACAGTTTGTCACAGCCCCTCGTTTGTTGTCCTCTTCTCTCTCTCTGCCAACGGTTTACCGGGCAGTTCTGTTTGTGACGATATATAGATATTATGTATTTAGCTCATCTTGCACATTTTCTCATTGTTTACGAATTGAGTGGGCTACTGTTAGGTGGTGCTGTATTACAAGCTATAGATGGACAGGAGGAGGTGGAGGAGGAGGAGGAGGAGGAGGAGGTGGAGGAGGAGGAGGAGTGAGTTTCGCGACATCAGCAATTAGTCTTGTGGCCGTTGAGTGTCAATCAGGCTGGTGGGTCGGGATACAGCCGTTAATCAGGAGGAGGTTAGTGAAGACGGCCGTCGGGATGCAGCCACTGGATTACAGCCGTTGATCAGATTAGTGCTCAGATCCCTTGCAGGTAGCCTTCAGCTGCCGTCGACGTGGCATAAATTTTTATTAATTCATATTATTATTCTACGTTAGAAAAATCCACGAGAAATGTCTTTCTGCTGGTCTGCTCCTGATCCTCCTCTTCTTGTTTTTCCTTCTCCCCGTTCTCCTCGTCGGGTTTCCCTTTCTCCTCAGTGTCTTCCTCTTCTTCAAGATACAGGCCTGGCCTTGGGATAAAACCCTTGGTGACCCTTGGTGGTGTTTTTCTTCCCGTTCTCTTCCTCCTTTAGAGTCAGGACTAGAG